GGTGTGGCTCCACCCTACCTGGCAGCATGGCTTGACAGACGAGACAGGACTGGTGTGTGTTGGTGTGCGGCAAAGCAAAGAAACCACCTGAGTCCCCGCAGTGTCCCCTTCATGCCCCCCATGCTCACGAGCCAGGCTTCCCTGGCAGTGTTCCCCAGGCACCAGCCTGTGTGGCCCCTGCACACCTGGGGCCCATAAGTGCCCAGCTCGCCCTCCTGTGTGCTACAGCCTTGGCCCCAAGACCACGCTGCCTTCAAAGTGTTTCCTCCACAGGGCACCTCCCGCTGCGCGATCACAGCAGTTAGGGAAAGGCTTGGATTAAAGCCTTCTAGAAAGATCCATCTAATGAAGAACCCCCACCCCTGCCCCATGTTGTGTTCCCAGCGTGGACTCAAGTTTGTTTTCGTGTGTTGAAGGGTGGTGCTTTTCATGAGCTGCATTCTCCCAAGGTCTCCATGTCACGTCTGTAACATGGAGCCTCCCAAAAAGGGAGGATTACAGAGGCCTCCCTCACACTCCAAGGCAGGAACCAGTGCGGAAGGACGAGGACATGGCCTTAGACGGGGCGGCCACCCCCCCCACCTCCTGTTTTCCAAAACAGCGCTCGGAGAGACCTCAGAGAATCACCACTCACAGACAGCCCAGCTCTGAGGAGGAAGGAGAAGCTGGCATTGAAGTTGCTTCGGGGAAACCTGCTCATGTGGGGAGTCTCTCTTGCAGATCTCTCGAAGGCCTTGGTCCTGACGGAAATCGGCCCCAAGCGTGACCCTGCTACTCTGAGACTCTTCCTGAGCAACATGGAGCGACTGCTGCACGCCAAGGCTCACGGGTAGGATTTCAGTCCCAGAAACGCACTGTGGTCAGAACCAAGCACATGCTAATGTCTCCCCAGGGCCTTGAAGAGGGAACACCCATGTGCAGGGCCTCTACGCAGAGGTCCAGGGACACCATCCTCAGGAGCCTCCCCGGGCTGCTCAGGTCACCAGGCATCAGGAGACGGTGTGGCCTGTGTGCCTTCACGTCACTGTTGGAGGGTCCAAGTAACGGGCTTCAGTGCCTCAGCTGGTGAGCCCTTCCAGGGGACGTGGCTCCGGACAGTCTCTTGCTCTGATTTGTTTCTCATAAATGTTACTTAAAGCCCAAGAGCATCCTCTGCCCTCCTCTCCCCCAAGTCTGTCCCACAGGAAGGACTCATGTGGCACATGATGGTCAGCTGAATCAGAGCTTCAGGCTTGAGCCCCCTGGCCAAGGTCCGTGCCCAGGCTGAGGTCCAGGTAGCACAGGATGCTGGCGCCATTGCAGAGAGCACTGCTGGACAGGGTCACTGCAGGCCCTGTGTCCCCAGCTGGCCAGCAGAAGCCTATGGTTCATGTTTGTCCCCTGAGTGTGCCTGGCACAGCATAACAGGATAAAGGAGTAGACACGCCATTGCAGGAGCTCAGCACGAGCACTCGGCCCACCTCCCTGCATCTGTCCCCGACCCAGGGTCCGAGTGATTGGCAGCTCCACCCTGGCGCTCTGCCACCTGGCCTCAGGGGCCGCCGATGCCTATTACCAGTTTGGCCTGCACTGCTGGGACCTGGCAGCCGCCACAGTCATCATCAGAGAAGCAGGTGGCATCGTGATGGACACTTCAGGTCAGCTCTGTGGCCCTCTGCTGCTTTCCTATCCTGGGGCCTGGCAGCAAAATCTAGAGGCGGTGGCACTGTGGTGGGGCGCTTCCCGAAGTCCCCACTGCACTGGGTCCCCTTCCTGCAGATGCAGCCCAGGGTCTGTTGGCCTGGTAGTAGCAGCACCACTGTGTGCTGATGCACTGTGGGGTTTTACAGGCTCCGCACACAGCCAGACCCCAGGACCCCCCAGGACCCAGCCAGGCAGACAGATGTGAGCCCCACAGTTGAGGCTAGGCACTTGCCACAGTCCACAGCCAGGAGTGTTACCAGCACCTGTGCCCAGCATGGGCACCCTGCAGGGTTTCAGGAGGGTGGGTCAAGAGGTGACCTGCTCTCCTGCCCCAGGCTCCTTGACTCCCATGCCGTCTTCTCCCCAGACATGAGTTCCATGTGCTTCAGGGCTCCCTCCGTGTCCATGTTGCACCCATTTAGCTCCTGCACATGTGCTCCAAGATGTTCAGGAGTCCTGAGGATGTGGCAGGGCTTCAGCCCTCCTTTCCCAGCCTCTGTCCAGAGCTCCTTAGCAGGGGCACCTGGCTTTCTTCTGATCACTGGGCACATAGGGTGGCTCTTTTGGAACTTGACTTCTACCTTTTTCCTTTGAAAGGCCTTAACTGAGCTTCCAGAAAGGTGTGGAAGTAAAGCAGTGTTGATCTCGGGTGGCGAGACTAGACAGGCCAGCTTTACGTTAACAAGAGTCCGGCACTCTGGATTTGGCCACTCGAGCACCCGAGGCTCCGTCTGTGCACACGGATCTCTAGCCAGGCAGTCAGTCCTGCTTCACACACCCTGGAAGACTCAGGGCTTCACTGCCCACGAGCCCGGGGGGGAGTGCAGGCTCCACCCTGCCCAGACTGGCTGAGTCGAGGGGAGCCTTGGTGCCCCACACTCTGGTGACCCATGTGCTCCCCTATTCTGGTCCAACCATCCTGTGGACTTACTGGACTGGACTGGACTGGGCATTCCATGCCCTCTGAGCAGGGGCAGCTTCAGTCTCCTCACTGTGCGGCCTTGGCCACACTAGGGTGAAGCGGGGATAGAGGCTCACCTCCCTCCTGGCAGATCCACCACCTGGTCACCTGCTGTGGAGGGCCCGGCCTCAGGCACAATCATGAGTTGTCCCCCTTGGGGTGCATGTGATAAGTTGCCACATAGGCTGCCTGGCCCCATCCAGTGACCCTCGTCTGCTCTCTTCCCGTCTCCAGGTGGACCCCTTGACCTCATGTCGTGCAGAGTGGTCGCTGCTGGCACCCGGGAATTGGCGATGCTCATCGCCCAAGCCTTACAGACTATTGACTATGGGCGGGATGATGAGAATTGAGGGCACAGATGGCAGCATGGCCCAAGGGCCCGGGACAGAGCCTTCCTGGAGGCTGCCTGGGGGCCTGTACCCCAGGCCAGGCGTCTTCTCCCCAGGAAGGAGACTCGGAGCTAAAGTGGGTGGCTGGCGTGTTGATCCACGTCTCTCGCAGGACTTGGTGTGTGGCTGGCTTCCTGCTTTAATCCACATAGCTTATTCAGGTCGGTACATGTTCTTCTGTCAGGGCTAAACCCGAATCTCAGGAGAGACGAGTGGTGATCCAGTCTTCCCTCCCCAGAATGCAGACCTCAGGTGATCTTCAGAAGTGCTGGTGGGAGCAGACTTGTTCTCAGGACTCCCTGCCCCAGCTTCTGCAGAATGCAATAAATAAGAGTCACTGCACTCCACGCATCTTCCCCTCTGTGCCGCCTGTTTCCCCAAACGCTGTAGACGCAGGCTCTTGGGAAAGGCTTGCACATTAAAGTCCAACGGGGACGGTGAGGGTTGCTTGTCCACATCTTGGAAAGCACTAGGAAAACATCGTCCTTATCGTATTGGTATTCAGACTCCAAGATGCCTTCCAGGGCAGAGTGCAGGGAAGCCAGTAGCTGAAAACCGTCTCTCTGAAATGCTGACTTGTTTAACGAAGAGAAATTGTAATGTATTTCCTGGGCCTTATCTGTGACTGTCTGGGAAATGGAATTATTGATATGGATAATTCAAATGAACTGACAGGCCAGGAGACTTTTCTGAAGTTTAAACATTGAGAAAGTCAGAAGGGCAGAAATTTCAACCCACTCCTCACTTTCCCTCACCGTCCTCCCTTGCCATCGATACACAGAATGGTCCAGACCTCCTTGGAGGAGGGTGGCCCCTGGTAAAATCACCTGTCACTCTTCCCCAGCTGTACCTCTGTGGTCTCGGCAAGACACAGCTGGCTCGAGGCCTCTGCCCTGACACTTGGGCCACGCAGGACCCTCAGTCAATGCTCCTGGGCAAGCCACCCAAGGGCAGCTCACTGCAGACCCAAGTCCTGAGAGGAGTCCTCAGGATGTTCTTGTTGGAGTGAAATACCCCTGTGCCGCCTTACTCCCCCTTCCTCTTGGGGCATATTTTGTTAAATTCACTGTTGTAAGGAAGGATAAGCACTAGGAAAAGTGCCCGTGTGTGTGGATCATTCTGTGATTCTGCAAGGCCAGCTTTAAAACGAAACTTCTCAGGGAAGAAGCAGGGAGTGAGTGCACCCTTTCTGGTCTGAATGGGGTGGCCAGGAGAACCCCCAGTATGTGCCTTATTCAAGGACCAGATGTGTGAGGACTTGGTCTTGTTGGGATGAACTATCCCAGTGCCCACTGAGTGTGTGGTCGCTGCTTCTGATTTCCACAGGCACGTGCCCAACACTAGCATAAGGATCTGGGGCCGTGTGGGGTGGTGCAGATAAATAGAGGCGTTGCCATCCTCTCCAGGTTCCGTGGGTCTGCACTGCATAGAATGGATGCTCGGGGTGCTTACTCCACAACCGCCATTCATCCTGCAGCAGGCACCACAGCCTCTCTGCTGTGCAACGCACATCCTTCCCCAGGTTGGTCTTCCTGAGGTCTTCAGGAGTTCCCTATGGCATCCTGTGCACAGGTCACCCCCACTGCAGTGTGGAGAAGGCCAGTCCTGTGTGGGGGGGGGGCCAGCGCGCTCTCCGTGTCATCTTTTTCTGTGTGTGGTGTGGTGTGGGGCGCGGGTGTGTGTGTCTTTTTGTGTTTTTGTGTGGGCCGCTTTTTAACGCGACTTTTCTGGGGGAAGCAGGGGGTGGTGGGGGCCCGGTGGTGGTGTGTTTTGGGGGGGGAGCTGTGGGGTGTGCAGCTGTTGTGGGTGTCCGGTGTGTGTGCGAGCGGTGTGTGGAGTGTCTCTCTTCTCCCTGTGTGGCCTCTCTTGCTGTCCTGGCTACCTGCTGGAGGCCAGGCCAGGAGGAAGGAGCGCTGGCTCTGGGTCCACAGGCCCCGTTCTGGCCCAGACTTCCTGGCCTCTGGTGCAATCACTTGTAGGGTGCTCAGAGGGTGAGCAGGGTGCTTTGCACACCACTGTCCATCTGCAAATGTGAGCCTACCCCAGCATCTAGAACCCTCCATCTTGGTGTTTCACTGGGTGAGATGAACCAAGATCATGGAGTACAGCGGTCAGGACATCTGGCCAGAGGCGGGGTAAGTGCTACATGTGCAGAACCCGTCTGACGTGCTGAGGTTCACCTTCTCTTTTCCTGAATTCTGTTTATGCCAAAACATTAGGATATCATTAAGGGACGTTTCCTCCGTCCCCCGCTTGGATGCAGGGCACCAGTGCCCCTGCTCCTTCCCAGCCCTGTTCTGCTTAGTGGTCGAATGGGAAAGTGCCCTGCATCCATGAGAGCTGTGCGGGGCCAGGCCTGCTCGGTGGGATGCCACTGCTGCCCTGCACTTCCCAGAGCTAGAAGAGCCCCCCGAGCACCTGCCTTACTGTGTGGGTCCAGGTACCTCTGGAGCCCTTGCAGCCACAGGCAGAGAGGGAGTTCAGGAGCCTGAAATTCACATGGCGTCTGCAGCCGATGCTCATCTTCTGACAATATTGTGTGTGTGTGTGTGACTTGAACGTGTGTGTCATGTATGACAGGCTCTACACAAGGTCGTTTTGGGGGGAGTGACCAAAATATGTAAGCTTTTTCCAAATGAGATTGGTCTTAACATGTTTTGAAGTTTCATGAGTATTGTAAGAAAAGTTGCAGCCAGGGGAGGGAGCCATAGATTCTCGTTGGGGGACCTAAGAGGGTGAGGGTCAGAGGATGGAGTGACTGACCCAGAAGGACCTCTCACGTTCATCTTGGGTGGTGTCAGAAATAAATGAGCCACTTTGCAGACCAGGTTCTAACTCATGTCATTTCATGATTCATTGTTTCCAGAAGAAGAAATTATATATATATTTTTTCAGTACCAGGAATTGAGTCTGGGGACACTTGACCACTGAGCCACATCCCCAGCCCTTCTTATTTTTAATTTTTTTTTTGTTGCCAATGGACCTTTATGTATTTATTTATATGTGGTGCTGAGAATCCAACCCAGTGCCTCACACATGCCAGCAAGCACTCTACCACTGAGCCATAACCCCAGACCCTTTTTATTTTATTTTGAGACAGGGGCTCACTAGAAAGTTGCACAGGCTGGCCTTGCACCTGCAGTTCTCCTGCCTCAGGCTCTCACTGGGATTACAGGCGTGCACCACTGTGCTTGGCTTTTTTTTTTTTTTTTTTTCCCTCTGCTGGGAGAGTGTTCTACCACTCAGCTACACCCCAATAATGACCATTTTAAAAAATTGTTTTGGTGAGCCCCTCCCCTGAATGCTACCTCACCGCACTGAGTGTCCCCTGCCATAGTCACAGGGACAGGTCTCTCATGTGAAGTCGGGTACTTAACATGGATGTGAAATGCCAAATTTATACAAGAGTGGGGGATTTCTGCCAGTTGATGGGGAGCCTGTAGAAAGGGCTATTTTTAGGCAAGGAGACTGGTGTTTTATACAGAAATGCCCAGGACCCTCTGGTACATTAGGGGTTGTGCAGGGTGTGTCCCTGGGTCCCTGCAGAGATCAGGTCCACACTGAGCCTGTGTGAAGCAATGGGGGCTGAAGGCCACCAGAGCCCTCCAGGGACTCCTGGGTGCTCTCTGGAGCCCTGTGGTGTAGGCGCAGCCGCTGGCCCAGTTCAGACGGTATGGACGAGATTGTCCCCTACTCTTGACGGTGGTAACAATTAAAATAAAATTTAAAATTTTAACTAAAACAAAAATTTTGCCCTTTCAGTCTTGTAATCTGTAGGTTATGTTTTTGAATGCACATAGACCACCACTTTGCATGCTACCTTGAGTCAGCCTACTTAGGTAGTGAAGGTGTGAGATATAAACTAAAAAGATGTATAAGGGAGCCTTCATTGACACCTACACATCTTGGAAGTAAAAATCTGAAAAGCAATACCAAAATATAATAGAAAACAAATTTATCTCATTTTGAACATAAAATATTTTAGGCATTCACACTTGTGGCTTTGCAAACCTTGATGGGGATCACTGAGCATGATCTTTTTTTCTGGTGCTGGGGACTGAACCCAGGCTTCATGCATGCTGGGCAAGCTTTCCACCACTGAGCTATACCCCTGCCCCGAGCACAAATTATTAATGCTTAGAGATCCGAGGGGAATGTGCAGAGAGCAGGTAGCACAGTGGACAAGGATCAGCGTTCTGGCTCACAGTCGTGGCTCTGTGCTAATGAACTGCGTGATCATGGGCAAGTTGTTCAAGGAAACCGAGGCACCAGGTGGTCCCTAAAAGGCAAGCATATTAAAGAATCTTTTCCAGATTCCTCTCCTTGGTCATGGACCTAGTAAGTCTTATGCATACCCTGCCAAAGTCACCATCGGGATGCAGAAGCCCTGTGACAGACAATAACTTTTGTTCTTCATCAGCTGAAACGTTGTGTATTTTCATCATTTACCCAAGAGTGAGGCTTGTGAAATGAACATTCCTGTGTCATTCACGGCACCTGCTGCTCAACACACGACGGTTCATCTTTTTATAGTTGTTACTCAACAGTGAGTGTTGAATACCTTCTGGTACCTCTCATTCTGGATGCCTCAACTATTGGAGGAGACTAGAATATTCAGTCAGATGGGTTTTGCCTCATTAACTCTTCTCTGTCAGCTCTGCAGCCTGCATCCAGACTTTGGATGGAGCCTCAGGAAATCCTCCCATCCCCCTCCTCTGAGCCATATCAAACTGTGCTTTCTACCTGGAGGGAAAGTATAAAAGGACCAAATTTTTAAAAACAAACATCAGTGGCCTAAAAGTTTGGGTAAGTCTTAGAAGCACCAGGCGACCTGAACCAATGCTTGATGGCTCATGGGGCCCACGGACTGTGCCCAGGGTGCCGCTCCACAGCTGGGTGGCCTTGAGCGCCTGTGGAGACTCAGGGCCTCTGTAAAATAGGCTAAGCCAGGCTCCGTGCAGGGTTGTACAGAGTGGACGAGGAAGTGCACCAAGCAGATGTTCCCAAGGGCGGCAGGCTGCGGGAGGCCCCAGCTGCCTCAGCAGTGCCTTCTTGGCCTGGGCTTCCCCTTCCTCCTCTGGAGGCCACCTGAAGGAGCCTGAGAAGATAGAACCTAGATGTTCACGTAGATGGTATCAGGGTGCCTGGCCCGGGCTCACCCAACACAGGGGCCTCCCGCGTCCTGGTGTTCACCTGGACCTGTCCCTCAGCACCACTCCGTCCCCACTTGTGCCAACAGCAGCCCCAGGACAGGTGGAAAACAAACAGTGGGGGGGGGGCAGCATGCGCATCAAGGACTCGGAGGAGGAAAGGAGAAAGGTGTTTCAAGTGGCCCAGGAGGG